TCACCAGTTTGCCCATCCGTATCATCAAACCTGACCAACCAGAGGGTGTTCTCATCGACGTCGCCAAGAATGGTCAAGAAATTGGAGAAATCGTCTTCATCGGCAATATCTGTGCCAAAGAGTATTACAAGGATGCCGAAGCATCTCGGAAGCTCTTTGCCGGCGGCGTCTTACATTCCGGGGACTTGGCCGTGTGGCACCCTGACGGCAGCGCCCAGATTCTCGACCGAGCCAAGGACATTATTATTTCCGGGGGGGAGAATATATCGTCCGTGGCCCTGGAGAGCATGCTCGTCCAGCATCCGGATATTCTGGAGGCTGGTGTTGTGGCTGTTCCCAACGATCACTGGGGCGAGGTACCAAAGGCGTATGTTACGGTGAAGGAGGGCAAGAATATACGGGGAGAGGATGTCATCTCTTGGGCCAAGCATCAAAGCAATATCAGCAAATTTATGGTGCCTAAGGAGGTGGAGGTTGTGAAAGAGTTGCCAAAGACCAGCACGGGCAAGATTAAGAAGAATGATTTGCGCGAGTGGGCTAAGAAAGGTGCAAAGCGATAGACGGTATATGATTGGAAGGTTTACAGGAGTTGACAGTCGCACCATTTTTTTCGTGGTGTATCTTTGTATTTCTGGCTTATTGTGACGGCCCATACTTCTGCCAGAAACCCCTTGTTTCTCAACGTTCGTACCATTTCTCGTAACCTCTTCATGACGGTCGTTTATTTCACATTAGCCGGGAACAAAGCCCCCGCCTTACCCCGGTCAAGTCCATCCAACGTCTTCATGTCCCCTTCATCCAGTGCAAAATCAAACACATTTGCGTTTTGCTTGATTCTGTCGGGATTGCCACTCTTGGGCAGCGGAACCCAATTCTTCTGGAGCGCGAACCGAATCAATATTTGCGCTGGTGACTTGTCGTACTTGTCTGCTATGGCGCCCAAAGTCGGATCGTTCAGATGGTCGCCACAGGAGAGCGGACTGTACGCCGCCAGGACGATACTCTTGTCCTCGCAGTACTGAACGATTTCCCGCTGCTGGCACCACGGGTGAAGCTACGAGATTTTCATATCAGTCTGTCATCTCTCTAGCCTGAGAATCCGGCCCCCTACCGGGATAATGTTTGGTGTTTTCCAACATACCTCGACTTGGTTCACGTGCGGCGGCCAGACCTTTGCATACTCCTTCATCTCCTCGATATGCTGTGGCCGGTAATTACTCACACCGATGGCCCTGGCTCGCCCCTCGGCGTGCAGCCTTTCCAGCACGCCCCATAGCTCCTCGCGCGACTCTCGCCCGGTGCCGGGGATGTGAATCAGCAGCAGGTCGACGTACCCGTCCTTGCCGCCTACTTTCTCGATGCTTTCCACGCAGCTCCGGTACGACTTGTCGGGGGAGCCCGCCGATTGGCGAATCTTGGTGGTTATGAAGATGTCTTCTCGCTGGATGGGCGATTGCTGGATGGCGGCCCCGACGTCGGCTTCGTTTCGGTACAGTTGCGCCGAGTCAATGTGGCGGTAGCCGGCCTGTAGGGCATCCAGGACGGCTTTTTGGCAGGATTGTCCGTAAAGTTGGTAGACGCCGAAACCGAGCTTCGGGATGGAGCTGGTGGTGTTGGTGAGGGGGACGCGGTCTTGGAGTGTGAGTGGTGCCATGATACGGAGTAGTGGTTGGTTACCTTTTGTTTCACCTTATCGTGAAGAATGGGAAGGCAGCGATTATGAAAATAAAAAGGAGAAAAAAATCAGACTAGTTGCGCTTTAAATGTGCCACAGGAAGCATTATTAATACAAATTGACCAAATACAATACATTGAAACTAGAATTAGACGGGTTTCCTGGGGTGTCGGTCGAAGCAGGAGCTTGGGGCAGCAGATCGTCGGCTTCTGCAAGGTGCATGTACTCCGTAAAAAGCATGTAAAGAGCGGGCGCATTCGTCATAGGGAACCACTTTATGCCCCGCCACGCCGCCGGCGGATGGCATCTCCCGAGAGCTGCGAGCCGTCAACTAGCTGAGCCCGAGGTGAATGCGGCACCAAGTTGGCAGCAAGGAATACCGAAATGAACGGGGCTGTTCAATGACAGAAGAAACCAAATCATACCGTCGGCCCGGCTTTATCCCCGCAAGCTTCAGACCTGGAAAGGGGGACAGCTTGAGGCAGCAACGCGGCAACATTGATTCCCCTTTGAATGTGCGCAGGTCTAATTTTTGCAACGGACCAGGGTTCTAGCCAATAATAAGTAACTAAGATTTTAAAGATACATAAGTATATAAAAATATACTAGTTTATTATCCTTAATAAGGGAGTATCTTTCAGTATCTTTACGTATCTTCAAGTATCTTCAAGTATTATAAACGAAGAGTAGGTTGAATACATCAATTAGACCTGCGCACACTCAAAGGGATGCAGGTGCTGCCGGCTGCGAGTCACCAGCAACGACCAGCACTGAGCTCTCGGCGGCCTTATGCCCCACCAAACAACCCACCGTCAGCCTACTTTCGTCACAGATTGGTTTCCACTGCTCCAGCATTTTGCCTCCCTCATTCCACCAGGTGCGACGACCTTCGTTCCGCTTTCCATCGTGTGCCGTTCAACGGTTAATGGGAAGCATCTTTTTTTTTTGACACTCAATCACGAGCTCACACACAGCTCGTCTTGAGTTTGAGGACCATCCCTACGGCTGCGACCATACCATTTCTTATTTTTCGAAACAAACATGAGCACTTTGCGGCCTTTGCGGGGTGGTTGCTTGTGTGGAAGGAACCGCTACATCATTGCTCTTCCGGAGGATGGGATAAATGAGGCACAAGTGCTATTCAGCACGGACAGATCACACCGTGAGTCAGGAGTCCCAATGGTCTTTTCTGTCTAGTCTGCAGTTGACGGGACGGAGAAGATGATGTCTAAATCTCTCTACACATTGTCTTGCGTTGGCGGCTAACAGTGGTTTCTAGAAGAACCACTTGCTACACCTCTGGCGGCGTACATCCGAGTACCGCTGTCATGGTTACACAGCACGACCTTTGCATTCTTTGATGATGAGACACACACCATGATTCGACGTGTTTACTCCCACCCTAGCCAAGACCACACAAAGCGTCAATTCTGTGGATTCTGTGGCACGCCGCTATCATACTGGTCCGAAGAGCCCAGGAGCGAAGCCGAATATATCAACCTCACATTAGGCAGTCTGCTTCAAGAAGACCTCCAGGACTTGGAGGACCTGGGACTCATTCCAGAAGAGGGCGAAAGCGAGCCAGAGGAAAAGCGCGCGGCCAGCCCGAATCGCGGCATTGCCCTGCGACATTCCTTTGGAGTACCATGGTTCGATGGCATGGTGGATGGCACAAGACTGGGTAGAATGCGTCGCACGCATGGGATTCGACGCTCAGACGATGGTACAGTAAAGGTTGAATGGGAGATCATTGAGGAGTCGGATGGGCTGGAGAACAACGATGTTGAAATGGAGACGGGCTCTGCGTCGGGGAAGCGAAAGTTGCAGGACCGAGATGGCTAGAAGACATCACTGTGAAACGGACTCGGCGACCTCGGACGGGGGAGTGCACTCACTGAGGTATTAGCCACGGACATGAGTGAGAAACTTTTTTGACATGTGCTGTCTTTGGCCAAGGGGCGAAAGTCAAGTTGACCGGCATGACAAATCCAGCTTTGGCATGATGCAAAGCTCAACAGCTGCATGGCCAAGTCTTGAGAACAGTGGTGGGAACACAGGACCGAGGGAGGTGTGGCGTGGTGGCGTTTATGCGGAAAAGAAAAGAAAAAAGAGAAACGACGGACATGTATGAAAAGAAATATGCTGTGAATTACGGGGTACTAGAGGAGATGACGATGTGAATTGATGTTGTTTCATGCAACTTGTTTGGTGTTGGTGTTGTTGATCCCTTGTACGGAGTAGAAGAATTGCGGAATGTCGGCACCATGTCACTCACGCACACTCCGGAGGCAATTCGTAAAAAGGAACAAAGACGGCTGAGAGAGGTGCTTTCAAGGCAGAAGGCAAAAACCCGGACGTAACGTACTGGGAACATCAAATAGTTTCAAAGCCATGACGACGCCATCAGCTCTCCAGCCTAGCACGCGGCCCGCCCCTGACGCCCGCTCTGCCCCTGGACACGGAGAGATTACATGCCGTGAGATGAATGCCGTCAATTGCTTCCGACCTTCTCGGTACTCCGCAGTGTCAAAGCACAAGCCGCGCTTCGCTCGAATGTACATGGGGAGCCCCCAAGCTGACGGTCATCGGAGAGGCGGGCCGGGGGGGTTCGAAAAAGCAAACATTCATGGTGGCACAAATTGGGGGGGTTGATTGACCCCGCCGCGGGGGGAGAAGCTCTCACTCATTGTCCTGGGAAATCAAGCCATGTAAGACGTGACGTTGGCGACGTTGGGGTTGGTGATATGGCGGTTGCTGCAAAACCGGTCATGTTTGCTCGAGTTGTCTAGTGGCGCCATGATGGGAATTGCGGTTTTGCCTCTTTAGGCGGCGCCTCATGGCCCGTGACTTCCTGCAGAACCTCCGTGTCCCCTGTGCCTGTACAAGGGTGCTCCGCCCGGCGGTAAGCACTTGCTGCCAATTTGAACCTTGCCGATTGTGATGCTTCTTTGTTTCGTGGGAACGATTTGCTCAGCAGGGGGACTTTGACGGGCGCAACAACTCCACTCGGTCAGAGTCTGGCGTCTTGTTGCTGTTGGTTTCGATTTTTTCTTTCCCTCTTCGGGTTGGCATCTGTCCATTTGGGGGTCTGGTTGTCACGATGGAGCAATCTTTGACGCTGGGTATTTAAGATGCCCCTGCCCTCCAGGTGGAATTGCAATGGGGGCAAAAAGGGCCGATTTGCGTTGATGTTTTCCCCCCAGCAAGAAACAGCCATCGTATTTTCTGCTTGATATTTTTTTTATATATTTTTGGTATTTTGTGTTGTGCCCGGTTCAATATCTCGACACCACCGACACAGGCAAAACCTCTTCGCTCCGCAAACATGTCCCTTCCAAGCGACTTTCTCTGGGGATTCGCAACAGCCGCGTAACCGTCCCCCTCCATCAAATACTCATGGCCTCAGTACATACACAACAAGGTCGCTAACTCGTCCCAGCTATCAAATCGAAGGCGCCGTCGAACAAGACGGTCGAGCCCCCACCATCTGGGACACCTTCTGCAACAGGCCCGGCAAAATCGCCGACGGCTCCTCGGGCACCACGGCGTGCGACTCGTACAATCGCACAGCAGACGATATTGCCCTCCTCAAGTCCCTGGGCGCGACGGCCTACCGCTTCTCCTTGTCATGGACACGCATCATACCGCTGGGGGGCCGGAACGACCCCGTCAATCAGCCCGGTCTGGACCACTACGTCAAGTTTGTACATGACTTGCTCGCTGCCGGCATCACGCCATTCGTCACCTTGCTTCACTGGGATGTGCCCGATGAGCTGGACAAGCGGTACGGTGGGCTGCTGGACAAGACCGAGTTTGGTCTCGATTTCGAGCACTACGCGCGGGTGTGTTTCCGGGCCATGCCTGAGGTGAAGCACTGGGCGACTTTTAATGAGCCGTGGTGCTCGGCCGTCTTGGGATACAACGTCGGCCAGTTTGCCCCAGGAAGGACGTCGGACCGGACCAAGTCTTCCGAGGGCGACGGCACCACAGAGCCCTGGATTGCTGCGCACACGTTGCTCGTTGCGCATGGCCGCGCCGTCAAGTCGTATCGGGATGAGTTCAAGGCTGCCGCCCAGGGCGAAATCGGCATCGTGTTGAACGGTGACGCCGTCTTCCCCTGGGACCCCGCCGACCCGAGGGACGTGGAGGCGTGCGAGCGCAAGATAGAATTCGCCATCTCGTGGTTCGCAGACCCCATCTACAAGGGCGACTACCCAGAGTCCATGAAGCGCCAGCTCGGCAGCCGCCTGCCCACCTTCACGCTCGAAGAAGCTGCCCTCGTCCACGGCTCAAACGACTTCTACGGCATGAACCACTACACGGCCAACTACGTCAAGAACCGCCCCGGAACGCCCGACCCAGAGGACGTGGGCGGCCACATCGACCTCTTGTTCTACAACAAGAGGGGCTTCTGCATCGGCGAAGAGACGCAGTCGCCGTGGCTGCGGCCCTGCGCCGCCGGATTCCGCGACCTGATGGTCTGGATCAGCAAGCGCTACAACTACCCCAAGATTTACATCACCGAGAACGGGACCAGTATCAAGGGCGAGAACGATTTGCCCATGGAGAAGATTCTAGACGATGACTTTCGCGTGCGCTATTACGACGATTACGTGAGGGCCATGGCGACGGCCGTGTCGCTGGACGGCGTCGATGTGCGGGGGTATTTTGCCTGGTCGTTGATGGATAATTTTGAATGGGCCGAGGGCTATGAGACGCGGTTTGGCGTGTGCTATGTCGACTATGACAATGGCCAGAAGAGGTTTCCCAAGAAGAGCGCGCGCTTCTTGGGGCCGTTGTTTGACAAGTTGATACGGAAGGAGGGGCAGTAGGCTTGCTTGTTGCATACAATTAGGACGGGCATCTAGATGAAGTAATATACTATTTTTGACATGTCATCCAGAGGCAGGTTTACCTTGATGGCTTCTACTTTGCAGGTCAAGGTATGAGTTGTGTCAGGGGGCCTAGATAGTCGATACTGCAGCGAGCAATACATTGGTGTGCAATGATATATATCTGCCGGGTACATATTACCATGTATCCCCCAAGAATGCACAAGATGTCGGCTTATATGAACGGCATGTAGTTGCACTGCGAAGAGAACTAGAAGCCCAAGCCGTGGGTCAAATAATCAGTGAGGCTCTATAAGGCGTGATTTATTCCTCCACTGGCGAAAAAAAATACGAACGGATGTAAAAGAATAGTCGATCGACTTTACATTGTTCTCGTCCGCTGTTACTTGCGTCATCTTGCAATCAAATCAGTGTCCCCGAATTGAGGCTTATATTCTATAATAGTGTCGACCACACCATCACAGGTTGAGTAGTGTAGTGGTCAACATGGTGGCTTCACAACAGTGAATGCGCTACAGCCCCGGGTTCGATTCCCGGCTCGACTAAACTTTTTGCCCTTGTTCCTTCCACCACTGCGACCATGTCGAGCTTCATAAGCTTCTTTTATTCATTGCTTTTTTTTTTTGCTCCTTACCATGTCTGTTTAGGAGCAGGCTATGGGAAAACTGCAACAAGACCAGGGAATCGGGCTGGCAATACGCCCATCATCTCCAACGCCAAAGCACGTTATTCAGAAGATCCATTCTCACCGTCCAGACCTACCCTAGGCCAGGTGAGCGGCGTCCACGCCTTGAGCAAACCAGCAGCACGCCTCAGAAGCCTGAAGCAATAAATCCACGAGTGTTTTTTAGCGTCTAACATATTATGCACTGTTGCTCGTTTCGCGCGGAGAACTAATCGAGGCCGCCGAGTGTGGATAAACCCAACCCTCACACATCCAGAATATTCATCAAGCTTATATACGTGCTTCAAGGCTACTACGACTATTTTCCCCCAAGGAAACTCCAATGCCCCACGTGCATGATTCGCCAGAGTCGGGATGCGGGCATTGCAGCCAGAATGAAATTTGCTGCTTTTGACACTTTACACTAAGCTTTCTCCTTTACTCGGCTGCTTCAGGTCCAATGCATTCCCAAATGTGGCAACAGACTCGGGTCAAGACGCCCGCGAAAATTAGCTGGAAATATCAAGCACATCTGGCTATGCGCTTTGGGGAGGGGGATCTGGGAAGCTAGCATCGGATTGAGAAAGCCGACGAGAAGAAGATAGAGGCGTACTGTATAATGATGGTTCGGAAACAACGAGCAGCAATCGGACATTGTACTCCGCGCAACACGGCCGCTGCGGACCGGCCGCCGTAGGGCTGACTTCAAGAAGCAACCACAGGGCCGGTCCCGTGTCTCATTGGTGGAAATGTCATAGCACCGCATGCGAGCTTGACGAATGGGGAAATTCTGCAGTTCACGTTACAAAGAACTCCGCATGATGGCTTTTTCGGATCCGGGACCCGAAATCTTGACGGACAATGCCCCGTAACGCTATTCATTTTCCGCGTAGATGCTTGAATCCGATTCACCAGGACAATCAGCATATGAGTTGCCTGGAAAGGTGTTTTTCTCTGGCGAACAATACTAATAGAGACCCTGCCTCCATTGACCATGTTGGTGGCAAGAAGGAGCGTACATACAACCATATCCAGCCCCTGGTGCCGTGTTTATTTATGGACATCACTGCACACGACACCCTTCAACCCTGTTTCCCATCTTCTTCAGTCATCCGAATCGCCGTGTTGGTATACAAAACATGATTTGCATCATAAATCTCGTACATCATCCATGGAATCGCCTCTCTAGGCGACCCATGATGGCCGGCCGCCTATTTCCACAAGCCAAGTTGGCAGACTTTTATTCACTATTCGACTTGGACGAATGGCCTCGTTTCTTGCTTATTGCGTGCCCGACTAGACCGGTTCATGTGACAACGGCCCATACCACACCCAATGCCCGCATTTCGAGGGATGCATGGCTGTGTCTAGCGTATGCGGAAAGCACTGCCATGTATACGCCATATAAAAACAAAATTCCAGGTTTCTCCAATAGATGCAATGCCTCTAGGTAATTTTATGAAAAATCATTCCTCCTTCGGTTTTGTATTTCTGCAATGGCTAGCCGCATGTGAAGGGAGGTTACGCAGCCGCCCATTGGCATTGGCATGGAGGAACAACGCCCACCGTCACCGTACAATATTGTACATGCACGCCTACCCACTCCCCCGGGATTCTTTAGAAGTTGAGCCTTTCTAACAACTAGATGTACTTGTATGGGTTCATAATGCCATTCTGTGGAGATGTTAGCATCGACCTTTCCCGCTCCTGGCAAGAGAGCGCGGACGCCATGACCAGGGGCATTGTTACACTGCTAACAGAAACAAGAAGAAACAAAACGGGACAAGACAACAAGGCTTGCCGCCAGGGCACAGGCCCAGGTGGCTGATTTGTTGCTAGGGATGACTTACCGGATCATACAATGTCTTGATCTGCTTCATGAGCCCAATCATGGTCTCATTACGGCTGTAGCCAATATAGTTCTTCTTTGCCAGGCCCAATCCGTGTTCTGCACTGATGCTGCCTTGCCGTTTTTCGATCCACTCGTAGACATAGGGCTCCAACACCTTTTCAACCTCCTTGTCGTAGCGCCTAACGGCAATGTTGAGATGGAGATTGGAGTCACCCATGTGGCCGTACCCAAGAACATCCACAACGGGATGGTCATCCGTCTCGCCAAGGAGACCAGCCTCGGAAAGCCTTGCCTTGACATCATGGACAATCAAGTACATTTCCGACAGCGGGATCGAAACGTCATACTTGTACGTCCCACCCCAGTGGCCAATACACTCCGTGATGCCTTCCCGCCAGCTCCACAGGGTCTTGATCTGAGTAGCGTCCTGCGCAACCACGCCATCGGCAATGACTTCGTTCGACATGACATCTTCCAGGAACTTCTCAAGCTTCTCGTAGTCGTGCTCGCTGTTGGAGCCGCTGGTCTCGATGAGGCAGTAAAAGGGGTAGTCGTTTTCCAACGGCCTCGTCCCACCGCGCACTTGATGGACCAGACGCTGGCTGGTTCCGTCCATGAGTTCAAAGGCCGACAGAATCTCGGACAGCTGCAGCTTGGCCTCGCGGAATGCCCTTTGTGCCTTTTCGTAAGACTCGATCCCGAACAGGGCGACATTGACCGCGGGCGAGCGCTGGGCGCACTGCACGACCAGCTTGGTGATTATCCCTAGCGTGCCCTCGGCGCCGATAAACAGCTGCTTCAGGTCGTAGCCCGTGTTGTTCTTGCGCAGGGTGCACATGTCGTTCATGACGGTGCCATCGGGCAGGACGGCCTCCATGCCCAGCACGCTGCCGTGAAGACTGCCGTACCGCAGCAGCCGCAGGCCTCCGGCATTCGTCGACACGTTGCCGCCGACATGGCAGGAGCCCTTGGCCCCCAGATCCAGGGGAAAGATGTAGCCCCGTTCGGCAACATGCTGATCTGCGACCTCTAGGATGCAGCCCGCGTCCAGCACAAGCGAGCCACTCATCTCATCAAACGAGTGGATGGTGTTCATCCTCCCCATGCTGATGACAATCTCATCAAAGACTGGGATGGAACCGCCCACCAGCCCGGTATTGCCGCCCTGCGGTACCACGGCCAGCATGTTCTCGTTGCAGTACCGGAGGATCTTGCTGACTTCCTCGGTTGACCCTGGCTTCAGCACCAGCCGGCACTGGCCCTTGTACTTGTGCATCCAGTCCTCATTGAAGGGCTCAATGTCGGCGGCAGCATCGGCGTTGATGCCGTCAATGACGGCCGAGTCCTGCCCGAGAAGCTGCTTGAAGTAGGCCACATGCTCGGGAGTCAGCTGGGAAAACCTCGAGTCCCTTGTCAAGCCAGGGTACGAATCAGTCGTCAGCTTCGCGGCACGACTCGCTGAAGTGCCGGAAAAGGACCTCGATCCCAAGCAACGAGTTGGTGGCAGCGCTGATGAGCGGCAGGCCGAGGCAAGACGAGCTGTGGCCTTGGGAAGGCCGCGGCTGGCCGCTGGGGCCACGAGACTCGAGACGTGGCTGCAGCGTCCATTGGCAACGCCCCGGAGGAGCCTCGCGCGTGTTGCCATGGTTAGATCGCGGCTGCAATGCGGTGGTGCTCAAGGCCTCGAGTGCGGTCAGGAAATGAACTTGGCTGGTCGATTGAGCAAGTCAAGAAGGGCCGAGGAAGGCGGTGGGAGCCGGAGCAAAAGACGAAGAGAAGAGGCAGGTTATGTTGAGATGTTGTGCAGACGGAAACCAGAGGCGCTCGCGATGTGACAAAAATACGAGCCCATCGAATTGCGGAATCTGCACATGGACGGTGGATAATCCACTTCGACTGCGTAGAAGGACTAGATACAACTTGACAGCTTCATTTGCTCTCGGGTGGATCCCGTCGCCGCAAACCTCCGACTCCGGCCTGCTTTCGTTCCCATACAACCATACAAAGCCACCACATGTTGGAGGCCATAGAGGTTCGCCAACAATTTATTTGGTCCACGGCATGGACCCAAACATCATCAAGGGACCTGTACAGACTCCATCCTGCGTGCGACGCCGCGCAAAGAGCGATAACATTTGAAAGAAAGCTTGTGGTCCGCATACATACACCACCTCTTCTGCACCCGGCGTCGACCTTCAATGTCAAGGTCTGGAACCTGAGCCGCAGTTTTCCAGCATAGGTACGCTCCATTCCCTCAGTCACCATCATCGCTCGCATTAGATATCCAAAACGGGGAAATCAAATAGCTATCCTAGTCCGTAATGCTCTACCCAAGTATTTCCAACTCCTAATCAAAACCAAGTGTAACCTCTCCAATAAACTAGGCACGGGCGTACAGTGAACTATTAGTATACAAGACGTGCCACGAACAAACAAAGTCTATTATCGCCTGCCTATCGCCAATTACCCAGGGAACCCATTTGCTTTGGGACTCTTGCGCGGATTTGTGTCGCCCAGGTTAGTACGGTCCTGTAGAACTCCACTGGGCACATCATCCTGTGTCCCCTCCGCGTCGATCATCTTCTCCATGAATGAAATGTAATCAAATTGGGGCTGTCCGCGGTCTTGCGACATGTCCGGACCCTTGTGAGGGGGCATCATCTCGACAAGTTTATCAATGACCTCGTCAGGGACCAGACTATGCCGCAGGTCCATCTCCGTCACGTACGGTTTGCCGTCGGCCACTTCACGGAATGACTGGAACACTTGCTCTGCAGTGTTTTGATCCTCCGTGACGTCCACCATGAATCGAATAAACTGCTCGAATGTTACCTCGTCGCGCCCGCCAGACGTCTCCAAGAAGTAGTCATGCATCTCTTCCTCAGAAAATACCAGTCCAAGAGAGGCAAGGGCAGCGCCAAACTCAATCTCATGAAGAGAATTCGAGTCATCTCTGTCAAAATGGCGAAAGACACTTTCAAACTCCTCCAACTGGATAGGCGTTAGGTTGGTCATATTTCGGGCCACCATCTGGTTCTCCAGGAATGCCAGCTTCTTTTGCACTGATGATTTGACGAGTCCCAGCTCGTATGCTAGTTCATCATATGTATATGTTGTAAAGTCGTTTTCCTCAATATTGGCCTCGTAGCATTTGGCGTCGACGGCTTCTATTGTTTCCAGATAGCGATCCAAGGGGGCCAAGTTGTCGCTCAGCTTCTTGACGTGGTGCCATTGGTCCTCGATATCTCCATCCAGACCAGAAATGGCAAGTTGCATCGTGTTGAGAGCCATTGCAAAGTCATTAGCTTTATCTGCAAATGACTTTCGAAGAGCGTTTTTGATACTATACGTATGATATTAGCATTAGTCTCGCCCCTTTCTTCTGATACCAAAAAGAATTCCTCCGTGTCAGTGGAAACTTACTCGCGAATGGTCTCATTGATCAGTTGTGCTCTCCTCATTTCTGCCTTTGCCAGAGTACCCCAATCCCGCTCCAGCGCATCCAAACTCAACTCTGCGGGTGGATCGTACGGCCGGAGTCGGTAGGTGCCAAGTTTTGTCTTGATATTTCCGAGGAGTGTTGCAAGATCACTCTTTTCAGCAACCCAGTCTCTCTTTTGCCCCCTTTTATAGGCAGCAAAGTCCTTGGCTTGCGCTTTTGCATCTGCATACGTCCCCTCAAACTGGGCTAGTTGCCATTCCTTGACTTGGGCGCGCAGGGCCGCAAGGAGCTCCTTCATTCGCTTCTCGTAGGCAGTCTGCATTTCCCAGGCGCCCTGCATGTTGCTGACAAATTTTTCGACTCGTCTGCCTGCATTTTCGACCTTCTCCATCTGCGAAAAGGCGTGGAACCAGTATGCAATGTAAGTCATCAAACTTCGCTCATCGGGCTTCGGCACATCACACACATCCTCCACATCCAAAAGCCGGGGAATGCCAATCTCTTCGTGGGCAATATCAAAGGCAAGCTGCATGTTTCCGCGGTGATCGTGCTTGTCTAGTGAATCAAAGTCGATCAAGTCTGGCCGATGGATATCAAGAAGCGCGCAAAAGGCCAGCCCGTCGTTCCAGCTTGCGCTGAAATCTCGCACTTCAACCTCGTCATAGCAGGCAGTCTTTCTTTGGCACCATAATAATAGGCCTTCTTTGGCAGACATGCCCTCCTCGTTGATGTCGCTGATTGTAAATCGAAGAATCAGGGTCCATATGAGTCCGAGGACAATCTTACGATTGCCGTCGACAATGTCCTCGGCGCCAATATTTGTCATTTGAATTCCCCTGCATTTAATGAAGTCGAGAGCCAGGTTGGCATTCTCAAACTTTTGTACGCGTAGTTTTGGTTTCGAAGCATAGCGGCCGAGGGACTCGTTCGACAGTGATTCCAGGAGATGGATAAGCATGACCTTGAGATTGAAAGTTAGTCTCACGCTCTGGCCGGATGGTCGGGGGATGAGGACGCTTTGCTTACACCATCACCGAAATCCTTGACAAGATCCTTGACCTCGAGGCCTCTTGATACTAACTTTGTATTTAACCTAGGGAGTGCTGGGTGTAAGCAAGGATGCCTATTGCGATTTCTCGTATTTTCATGCTCTTGTGCTCCTCCAAGATTCTTGGAACGGAGCTTTTTGGCAAACAACGACGGGTCAACGTACCATTTTGTAAAAGTCTTTTGCTGGACATTAATCCACCTTTGCTGCTCGAGAGTCGACATCTTGACCAGGCTGTGTTCATTCGCAGGCTCAACGGCGGCGAGGGCATCTGCCGTACCGCTCGTGTTTCCTGACCGTCGACGGCTCCAGTTTGCCTTTGAATGTTTTGAAGGCTTGTCCTTGGAGCCCAATGGAGGCCCGTCGCGTCCTGACCGCTGTAATCGTGCAGCCTGCAGCTGCTCCCTGTCCCGCCTGCTCCGCTTGCCGGGGAGAGACGAACGGGTTTGAGAGCGGTAACAGGGGCCAGTGGCGGTAGACTGCGTGCAGTCGCAGTCGGCAGCAGTGAGGCTCGTGGATGCAGTTGAGAGGGTCGAGGACCGGGAGGATCGCGATGTCGATGCTGAGATTGAGTCGCGGAATTGCCGTACTAAATGGTCGTCGTCGAGAACGCATGTGCACCCGTCCAAGTGGCTGCAGGACGAGTTGTGTAAACAAAATTGGCTGCCCTGGCCCGCACCTTCCAGGTTGCCGGGCGGCGGCGACGGGCTCCGCTCGACGAGCTGGCCAGCAGCATCATCTCCCGATGCGCCCAAGGGAAGCGCTGCCATTGGCTGCTGTGACGCTGCGCGTGCCTAGGTTGGTATTATTGGGCGGTTTTCGGTGGCTGAGTGCCGTTGAAGCTGTCAAATGCTCCACTTCGGCCAGTCGATCGATTGATGACTGGGCAGGACCTGCAGGGTCTGGAGGACCTGGTTGGTGTCCGCGTGTTCGTCCGCTCTTTGTCGACCTCGTCGAGCCAGTCTAGACCACCGTTCGCTCGCTTGTGGTATTGGACTTATCAAAGGGTCTTGGCAGAGGTGTGATTCGGCTGTACGGTGTGATTGACATGCGCACCTCGTACCTGGAAGTAATACTAGTCAATCGTACTAGTGCCTGTAGGACGGCCGTCGGAGAAGATTAAAATGTAGGTTGCAAAATGACATCCGCAGCATGCAGCACATAGACGGCCCGGGCGATGCGTTGCGTTTTGTATGCCTGCGCGACTCCAGACCCCGAACATTTATTTCCCTGTCCGAACAACGCCACCGCGGGGTTTGCCATGATGAGCAAGGGATTGGTTTATGCGTTCTTGTTCAGTCTTATCCCTTTCTGATCTTGCATTCGTCTCAGATGGGGAAGTGGACACTGACTTGGTGATTTATGCATTCGTCTAAAGTGTCATGGTGGTAGCCCTGGACTTGTAACCGACTAAAGTGCCACCGACAAGACCTGACACCCATCGTCTCATACCGATATCAAAGACACTTGTTCGTTCGCACGCATATATACATATGGGCTGGCCGACCAATCATCCATCGGCAATACAGCATATTCTTATTATGATGCGCAACAGGGTACTCCGTATACTATTATGATGCGCAACCACGTTCCCCTGGACAGTTGTGATGAGCGCTCACGCGGGTGATCCTGCACATCACACTCTTGTCGAAAAATGCCAGCTTCCAAATCTGACATGGTCACAAAGGGGAAAAAAAGGAGGCCCATTTGTTAGTCTCGTGTCATCTGACCCAATTTCTAAAGTAGCCGCTTCTCCATCATCGGAGGCTGTGCCTGGCGTTTCATGTTCCACACAATCTTGACTTGGTGATATGCAAGTCGACTCATTGTACAGCCTTGTCTCATGAATGGGCATCTCATGAGGTGAAACTAGTCTAGCCAAGCGCATTACTGCCTCCAGAAAACCAATCTGTCCTGTACCCTGTTATTGGACGAGGAGCACGGCTAATATACACGAGGAGGTCGACTTGAATGTTTGATATATGCCCAACAGTACACAGTCTACTCCGTAGTATGCCTTTTTATCTTACAACCACACCCCGATTAATGTACCCCATTTATGCCCGAGCCTTCTTCCCACCGGCCTGTTTTGACTTGGATCGTAAGGCATATCTCTCCCTTTTCCATGCTGACACCAAGTTATCCACACTGCCCATGTCGTGCTTGGGCTTCCGCATGTACGTCAGTCTCGCCCTTCTCGCCCTCTTTGGTCTTCGCCAGATGATATCAATACCCGTAACGGAGGGGCTGTAGACCTTGAACCACATTTCCACACCAGTCTTCATCATTTGTCCCCTCAGTAAGATGGCTGTGTCGACGCCTCGTCGTCGGATTTGGATAAATGCGCCTGAAAATGGCTCGCCACCCTGAGTAGTCACCATGAGTACATCTCCAACCTTGGCGCTATCTGCGTGATCCTTGGAAAATAGACGTGTTCTGGCACCCGTCGGATCTAATTGAGCGAGCTGCTGTTGACGCAGGATGGGCATCGGGTCCGGGTTCGTAGATCGGATAGATGGAATCTGAGGATAGATTTCGAACTTTTCAACCTTTCCGTGAGCAGCACCTGCGAAGAATAGTTAGCACATAAGTCTAGCACCTAGGTGGCAGTAATTGAATTGTCGTACGTTGCCTCTCGCTGATGGCTTTGTTACCGGTGGGAACAACGGCCGCGGTAGCCAGACTACGCTGCGCAGTCCTCTGCTGTCTCGCCTGTCGAAAGACGGACTTGAGGCAGCCCATTGGCCGCCTGACAGGTGCGAAATTCATGGTTGCTGGTGTATTGAGCGGAACCAGCGTTCGACGTTGGGCAGACGGCAGAAATTCCAAGATCGCCAAAGCTCCATCACGAGACACCAGCCCAGAGGGCCCACAATTCATGCCCCTGATTGGACCGGCGCATCCTTTTCCCCGACCCACTTCGCAACCATCTACTTTGGGATCGTACTTTGACGCCAGAAACTTTTGGCAGAGCAAGCAGGCAAACGACTTCACCTAAAGCAGGCATGGCGAACCGATCGATGGCATCGGCCTTACGGTCGTTGAGGCACCAGGCAGGGCCTTCAAGGCTGGACAAGATTTCTCGCAGACAATTCAGCTCCACGGCTCCCAATGGTATGCTGTCCATTCTCTGTCGTTTGCTTCAAGACTTCTCGAGCTAAATATTGACACCCCTAGCTGTCCGAGCCATATTTTCGGAAACTGACAATGCCGAATTGAACAACACCCTAAACTCCATCCAAGAGAAAATCATTCTGCCAGCTCATCTCCCCGAAAAACAGCGCAAGATTGTCTTTGACCCCAAGAAACGATCGCATCTCGAACAAAACCCCATCATCATCGAAGTCGACGGCCTAGAACACAAATTCTCCTCAATCGACCGGTTCAAGGGTATCGAGAACTCCAAGAAGGCATTGTCAAAAGCACTAGACAACATGCATAGTGCTGAGGATTGGGCGAACTTGGCCACGCTCCTGGCCGGCTACAAAAAAGCAGGCATAAAGCTGAAAGCCAACCACTGGGGCAAGATTGTGCGAGTCGCAGGAACAAAAGGGCATATCTTCGCAGTCATTGAGTGCGCGAAACAATCCGACAAGACGGGTTTCGTATTCCGAACTCCCGAAATGGTTGTCCGAGTCCTCGCTTTTGTAAACGACAAAATCACGGAGAGCGCCTGGGATGCGAGCGAAACAAAGCAGGCGCTGAAGTGGACGGAGGCGGTGTTGGATCTGTTACAGAGGCCAGAGCATGCCGTGTCGTCTCAGCGCACACGGGAGAGGCTACATTTTTCGCGACTTGTTCGAGGAATGACGGTGTTTGCGCGAGCTTCCGCAGTCAAGGTTGGCCAGGCCGCGGAGCGGGATATCAACCTGCTACGCGATGAGGTCGCACTCTTGTCTTCCCTCTGGGAAGATGCCGTGAACAAGGATCTCTTCGAAGTTCCTGAATTCGCCAACCTTAACCCATTGGTGGAGAGAAACGCTAGCGACAATGGCAACCATATCCCCGAAGCCCTCAACGGGAGTGCCTACATCCAGGTGCTTACCCAAAATATTAGAGGCATTGAACTGGCCCAAGAAGCTCTAGGAGGCGATGCCGAGTCGTTGTCTCCCATCCTCAATTCCCTAAAGTCCCACCTGCAAGACTTTGCAGCCAAGAGCGAGACTAGAACAGAGGCCTGGGCAGAAGAGTACGAGAAAGCCATGGGCAGCAAACCCAACTGGCCAGCAGTTGCAGCCCAGGCCGCAGGAGCATAAAAAATGCAAAAGATGTGGCACTCAAAGCGGCCCTAACATGTATCATAGAAAATTATGTATAATTCATCTTTTTTTTATATATATCCTGTACAATAAGAGGTCTGTCCACCCGTCTACCGCCCCGTCTTCGCCCCCCCGAGTCTTGTCTACGGCAAAACAATATACTTTTCGAGATGCTTTGGGATAGCACCGAGCAGCTTCTTTTCCGCCAACCACTTCCTGGAGAACAGACGGTCCGCATACCGATACGCGCCGTCACACAACATGGTGACAACCGTGTGGCCCTCGCCCAGCTTCTCCGCAACCTCCTTGGCCGCGGCCACGTTGAGCGCCGAGCTGGCACCCAGATAGATGCCCTCCTCATCCAAGCACCTGTACACCATCTCGATGCTCTTGTCGTCCGAAACATGCAGCGACCCGTCCAGCAAGTCAATGTCCGGCTTCAAGTTATCCGTGATGCGTCCCTGCCCAATGCCCTCCGTGATACTCGACCCAGACCTCTCAACCAACTTCCCCCCCGAGCTAATATACGAGTGCAACACGCTCCCCGGCGGATCGGCCAGGTAGCTCCTCACCCGGCCCCCCGACACGTCCTTCAGGTACCGCGTGATGCCGGCGAGAGTGCCCGCCGTGCCCGTCGCGCACGTGAACGCGTCCACGCCCCCCGCCGTCTGGGCCCAGATCTCAGGCCCCGTCGTCTCAATGTGTGCGCGCCGGTTGGCCGTGTTGTCAAACTGGTTCGTCCAGACAGCGTTGTCGAGGGCCTCGGCGTGCCGCCTCGCCTGGTGGTTGTAGTTGTCCGGGTTGTCAAAGGCCACGGCCGGCACGGGGTGCACCTCGGCGCCGAGGAGGCGCAGCAGGTCGATCTTGCCCTGCGACTGCGTGTCGGGCATGTAGATGACGAGGCGGTACCCGCGGGAGCGGCAGACGTGCGCGAGCCCGATGCCCGTGTTGCCGGCGGTGCCCTCGACCACGGTGCCCCCCGGGCCCAGGAGCCCGCGCTCCTCGGCGTCCTTGACCACGTACAGGGCTGCGCGGTCCTTGACCGAGCCCCCCGGGTTCATGAACTCGGCCTTGCCCAGGATCTCGCAGCCCGTCTCTTCGGAGAGCCTGTTGAGGCGGATGAGGGGGGTGTTTCCGATGGCTGCGGCCGCGGCCCGTTAGCTGTCTGCCCGATGGCTCTCGAGTATAGACATGGACCCCTTTTGTGGGATTCAATTGTGAGGGAGTGGGAGCGTACCGCCAGTCAGGCCCTTGGAGATGCCTTGGGCCTTGGACACGGCAAGCGTGTGAGCACTCGGCTCGGCAGCTTTGGCCGCCGCAACAGCTAGGCGTACAGCGCTGCGTCGAAACATGGTCTCCCCGGCAAGAGTGCAAGGCGCCGTCCAAGAGGTGTGGTGAAATTCAATGGTTTGCAACAGGACCAGGGGGCGTAAAAGGGGACGGGGAAGACGAATTTATAAGCTATCGACGACATCAGCGGCCGGGTCGTCGTGGATGGGCTGGCGACATTC